CTATGCGACATTTTGCTCGAACACCGGACGAGTTGCATGTATTTGAAAAGATTTGCCTCTTATGCTTTGTAGGTGGAATAACGCCTTATTCCGATGAGATGACCTTTATGGAAAGGTTGATAAACCTCAAGGTCAATATACAATTCAATATCTATATGAATAAATGGGATGAGGACTCCAGAGAGATATTCAGTCGCAAGTATCCTGGATTTCCTACTCCGCGAGAAATCTATTTTGTACGGATGATTGCTCTGCAAAACTCGATGTAATAGTGGAGTCACTATTTTCTAGGAGAAAACAGCCCTAATAATGATTAATGTCCATGAAGTTCTCGAATCTCCCCGTCCTAAAACAAACATGATAAAGTACATTGGCGGTTCAGCATTAGCTAAGGCGAAACCGTTGACAAAGGTGATGGAAAAGAGTTAAAATTCTGGTGTTCATCGCAAACTTTCTTGTAGGATCTAGATGATTTGTTGAATAAAAGAAGGACGACAGTGCTTTTCTCGATGGGATCTCTTGCTCGATCTGTGGATATGCCAGATTGGTTGAAGAGAGGTTACCATTTATTTTTATATTTTCTATGTGATAGCTGACGCAACATCGATAGTAAACATAAATTGATATTCTATACATTGTACTACATATATGTATATCATCTACCACACTTCAATGAGTCGCACTTGTATGAAAATAAACTACTCCCAGATGTACTGGAGACCTTCGAATTATTTTATCCTACTTCCAAAATAAACTACTTCAGATGTACTAGAGACCTTCGATTTATTTTCTGAAGTAACATTCATATGGAAGTACGAAGGCGATGATATTCCTTTTGAGTCCCATCCAAATATATTTCCTATGAAATGGGTTCCACAGACTGATTTGCTTGGTTAGTTCCGTGCAACATTTTTAAACGTCAATAATCATGGAATTTAGCGGATAAACGCCTCTCGCTTTTCATCACACACGGTGGTATGAACTCGTTGATAGAAGCGGTTGGTGAATAACAGAGAAACTTTTTTGATTTGCTAATTCCAGACGTATCATGGAAAGCCGCTGATTGTGGTTCCACTGTTTGGCGACCAACAGTATAACTCGAAACTCGTACAGAAAAGAGGCATCGCTACAATTATTGAGAAAAATCAGCTCAATAAAAACACATTGACGGAAGCTATACAAGAAATGCTTAGCAACAAGTAATTTCTT